TATTTTTTATGAATGAGGCCATAAGACTTTAAGACATTACGACGCTTAGCACGTCTTGTGAATCTCTTAGTTTTATCTTAATTTTCAATCCAAAAATTCAAGAATAATCTTAAATTGGCGATATTTAAACTACTTTCCGTTTGATACCTGTATTATGATGTATTCTGAATTTGTGCCAAACTTATACGAATATTCTCGGAGATAGCACCTGTCTAAATAACCTTAAAATTCAAAACATTATGTAAAGGAATATTTTTCTTGGGCTGCGGACAGATTGTATTGAAAATGGACGAAATCGACCAGTAATCAAATTTATAATCGCTACGATTCTTGGGGAAAATTTAAACCAAATTACTTTATATCGCAATGACTATGTACGTTGTAACGTTGTTATCTATTGAGATTAGAGTGTATTTTCTTTAATTGTTTTCATTTTTAATCCATTACAGTTTCTACCAAATGCGGGCGGAACGTGTCGAATGGTTTGCCTACAGAGATCCATTTTTACCAGAAATACAGGCACTGCTGAAGTTGGGCGTCTTTTTGCCCGTCGATGGTGTGGATTCAAAGAATCGTAAGGTGGTGATAATACGCGCAGCCGTGCATGATCCCAAACAACATTCCCAGAATAACGTTTTTAAGGTAAAATAGATTTTTAACTAAGTAGGATGAAAACTACAACAACATCTCATTTTCTCAATGTTTAGGTTAGTAAAATGGTCTTAGATTTACTGCTCAAATTCGAGCCAGACAATTGTGGTCGTGGTATTGTGGCTATTTTCGACATGGCTGGTGTACAGCTAGGACATGCGCTGCAATTGAATCCACGAATGATAAAACATTCCGTAGAGAGTTGGCAAGCTTACCCATGCCAACCGAAGTTATTGGAGTTCATAAACGCGCCGACACATGTGAATATCTTCTTGAACACTTTCAGGTAAGTAACTACTTAATATAAAACAAGTAAGGAAGTATAAGCTTGGGCGAAACCGAACTTTATATACCCGTTTCAACTTTTTCTAAACCACTTTTGCATGATAATCAGGACTTTTTTTTCCCGATTTCAAGCGTTTTCGATAATATGCTGAGTTAGGCTTAATGATATAATTGAAGCAAGTTTGGTAAAAATCGTTAAATTGGTTACCTTTGTAGTCATAAAGTGAGCGGTGCCACGCCCAATTCGTAAAAGTCTATAGAAGTCTTATTTATTGTTAAGAGATTGTTGCAACTATTAACTTGGAGAAAATACGCGCCCTCAGTTATTGAAATATCGGAGTTTTCGTATTTCTGAAATTGACCGGTATAGGGGAAGCGGATGTAATTTTAGTCTGATTTGAATAATTTTTCACGAATTTGTTTTGCACACTAGGGTTATTAAGTGTGCCGAGTTTGGTAGAAATTGATAAATCGGTTACTGAGATAGTCGTAAGTGGCGGCGCCACGCCCATTAACCAAAAATTCATAATAACCTAATTTTCTGATAAGTGGTGATTGCATTCATCGATATTAAGTGAATTAGCCTTAGTAGTTGCAGATTTATCGCAGTTTTCGTGTTTCTGTAAATTACCGTTCTATGACAGGTGGGCGTGGTTATTGCCCGATTTCAAAGACTTTCAACAGATTTCTTAGCTAAACCAAAGGAAAGGCTCGTACCGAGTTTGGTAAGGATTGATGAAGTGGCAACTGAGTTACACCATTCCATCATAAGTAGGCGGGGTCACGCCCATTTTGCAAAACTTTCATAATAATGTTATTTTTTTTACCACAATTCTACTTCACATACTGATTTTCAACAATTTGCATGCAATATTAACCAACCTACCTTGGATAAATGGAAACTTACATTGTTAGTGTGCACACCGACGGACGGACAGACGGACAGACAGACATGGCTTAATCGACTTCTCTATTTATTTATACATTTGTCTGTATCAATCTCGATCCGTTTTGGCTGTTACAAACAGCCGTTATGTGAACAAAGTTAATATACCCTTGTGCACAAGTGCGCTCGGGTATACAAATATGTATTACTTATTCATGTGTATGTATGTAGTTAGTACCCTTTAGTTACGAATTTTTAACAAAATTAAATATTAGTATGTATGTATTATTTGTTTAACTTTTAGATTATTTATGACACCAAAGATGCGATCCCGCGTTGTTGTACAAAAACGTCTAACTACAGTGGAATGTGATGAATTACCGAAAGATTTAGGTGGCAACGGACCGAGTTACAAGGAACTTGGTATCAAATGGAAGCAACTCGTGGAGGATAATGTTGATTTCTATCAGGAATATGACAAGCACAAAAGTATATTGGCAACATGAAGATGCTCAACGAATCCATGAATGGATATTATACAAATTAAGTAGGCTATATATATATGTATGTATATGGGTATCCGATAAGCTATAGATTAATTACATAAACAAAAAGTCCAAATAAGTAGAGGTAAGGAAATATTTTCATGCTGTACAACGTCAATGTGATTGTTATTTTTGTAAGGGGTCTATAAATAGATACATATGTATATGTATATATTATTTTAAATGAATTTATGTTGAAGTGCCCCAGCAGAAAAATTCGAAAGGCAACTATGGTGAGCTTCCATAATTCCAACCAATTACAATTATAAACTTAAATGTCCATATATAAATTAATAAAAATAATAGAGAATATTTAGTAGATAATCATGTGATTAGAAAAATGTAAGTGTTTTAGTTTAGTCTATTAAGTTAGATTAGGACATGAAAACAGTACAATGAACGGCTGTTTTATGCACGTGTTATTTTACGCCTGGGGCGTATTCTGTAACTGTGAGTTTTCAAGTGTACACTGAAAATTGTGTGCACTCTTCCTTTTGCGATTAGGTTAGGTCAATCTGGCTGGCGTTGAGCCGCACATAGGCCGGTAGGTCCTTAGCGTTGCCAGTTAATAGTTCAGACGTTAAAGGAGACATGACAAAGGATGTAAACGCTTATTGAGAATTTCAGCTCTACTTTTGTGACATTTTTTAACTTCTAGAATTAATAAGCTCCCAAGTATTTAGTTGTATTTTTGACGACCTTTGCCCTAGGGTTTTCCTGATATCAATTTTTGTGCATGAAGAGCCACCAGGATATGCCCGGTAAGGAATCCGGTAACCATTTTGTAATTTTTCACTGATGACCATCACAAGAAGCGATTATAATTATTTTCGGTGTTTTCGCACATCATTTTTGCAGTTTTGCCAGTGGTTAACTCATTCCATATAGACCTGAACTGCCTAATAATATTGTCGTGAATTTCGTTATACAAGTGTTACTGCCTACCTGACTTTCAGTTGCCAGCAGTATACTCCGTCGTGGGTGGCCTTAGCATTTTAGAGCCGTCCGTGAAAATGTTCAGGGAATATAGTTAGGTTTCATTCCTCTGCGCTATCCCTCCTACCCATCGAAACCTTCGTTCCCAATTAAAGCAATGTTCTCTTTTATCTGTTCTGATTGTGTTTCTCTGTTCTGTAATTGAGTTCCCCTATTGCCGTCAATCGTGTGGACTTAGCAGCGGTTAAGAAAATGGACGGTGAACTCAGGATTCCCTCTAGTCCCCGGCTCAAGTGCCGCCGTTGGTCGATTTGAGGACGGATCTGTAGTTAATTGGCAATTGCGGTTGCGAGCGCTTGGAAAGATAGGTGACGAAGGAAGAGGGAAGAGGGAACCACCCTGTATGAGCCACTGTTTAATTTTTCTTAGCTATGACTTTTTTACCCGCTGTGGTGTAGTGGTAAGCAGTACGCACTTCCACTCCGCAGCACCTGAGTTCAAACCCTGGTCAAAGCAACATCGCAAAAAATATAGAAAAAAGGTTATTTCTTAACAGCGGTCGTCCCTCGGCAGGCAATAGCAAACCTCCGAATGTATTTCTGCCATGAAAAACAGCTTCTCATAAAAATACCATCACCGTTCGGAGTCGGCGTAAAACTGTAGGTCCCTCCGCTTTGTGCGACAACATCAAGGCGCACGCCACAAATCGGAGGAGAAGCTCGGCCAAACACTAACATATGTGTAAGCGCCAATGTATTATTATTATTATAATTATGACTTTTTTACTGTGGAAATAACTGACCACTCCGATAGTTTGCTGACCACTGTTTGAGTCCCTGTGGAAGAAATGAGGCCTCTATTTTTTCTAGTAGCGTAGAATGACATACAGTGTCGAACGCTACTAGGACTGTTCTTCCACAGGGGCGGGTACGATTAGGGCAGTGAGTTATACGTGTGTTTATGGCAATATTTAAGTGCGGTTGTGATGCTGTGCACTTTCCGGGAGCCATGATTATGCTTCGCTGAGGTTAGGTAAAGTCCGGGAGTAGCAAGGTCTCTAATGTCTTCGCGAAGGGGGAGAGCAGTGTTATCAGTCGATAATATTCCCCTCTGTTGGCAGGTTTCTCCGGTTTCAGCAGTGGAACCGCTCTGCTCGGTTTCCATGCATCTGGAATGAGGAGAGGGGTCATAGACGTGCTGAGGATCTTGTGAGGTATTCTACTCCAACTGGTCTCAACTGTTTCATTACCAGCATGCATATTCCGTCGGGAGCAATGACTTTAGAGGATTTCCTCTGGTGGCCACCTGTAAATTTTTTAAGACTTCTAGTCACTCAACTTCGTCCACTCTGTCATCACGCTTCGTCGGTCTGAACAGTGACCTTACGGTTGACCAAAGCCTGCTTACACCAGAGGCGAAGTTGCAAGTCTTCAGGTGCTCTTCCCCCTTTTTCTGCTATACTTGCTACCAGTTTCCGATCCCTGATACGGGGATTCCGGTGGTCACACCCATGCGCCGCTTCGGCTGGGAAATTCGGGCAGGTTACTGCTACGAGTCCAACAGGATTTAGGCGGTTAAGGTGCTCTCGGTAACTTCCGCGAAGCAGAGCCAGTCAGCTTTCTTAAAGTTGACATATATACATATGTGCGCTGATCCGTGGAATCAAAGTTGACAAGTACTAATAACAGCATGGGTCGCCACCACGATGTAGCGAACAGAGGGTGGCGCATTCCGCAAACCCCTACTTTCGTTTTGCCGATTTCTACAGATCTCGATTTATAGTAAACAATGCCTCAAAAACTTTAAATGCACTGAAATTCACTATACGTTTTTTCATATTTCCTTTATTAATTTTTATTACAAAATCATTTATTTTCACAATTTAAAACAATTAAAACACGTTTCCTATCGAAAAATTGAATATTAAGATAATTGACTAATCTCACATTCTCTTTTATCCTCCTATTCGGCTTCGGTACTTTTTACCCACAAATGTCATCGCCGTCGGGAATGCGCAATCTTTAATTCTATCATTCGAGGGTCGCCACGTTATGCTATTTATCAGACCAGAGCTAACAATTGTTATGTCACGTGAGCTACTGCTGCTACCCATAATCCTGCTGATCAGCCAAATGTATTCCCCTACGGTCGTTTGACAGGCGTGAGCACCAAAGATCGTGGTTTGCGTTAAAGTCACCCGCTACCATACGCATTTCATTTCTGAGGAGCGCGTCTATATTAGGCTCATATCATGCCGGGCAGCAAGTGACAGGGTGTATAAGCATTAAATATTTCGAGTTCAACAACGCCCGACCGGATAGCAATAGTTGCGTTCCAGATGCTTCACGATTTGCAGGTTTTACCATACATTCTTAGATGATATTGCTGCGGTCGATGTCTGCTTCGTTGTGACGATACTGCACGGTGTAACTGACGCAGGTCACTGTGCAACTTCGTTTCTTGGATTTCAGCTATAATTATTCAATACCGGCCCACAGTAATATTTGGTCCCCAGTTTTGGCCCATAACCCCCTGACGTGCCTGGGCGGAGGCTCCTCCTCTAGCAAGGGTCTGTTGGGGTGTTTACCTCTTTGGCACCCCACCATTAACTGCTTACAGAGATTTTGTTGTGCTCCTTTACGGGGATCATTTGAGCCTCGCTGTGTAGGTGGTGCTCAGGCGACATCAGAAGTCACGCTGTCGCTGTGCAGAGTGCAGCGTTCTGACAAGTCTGTAGCTTCGTACACTGCGTCCAACTAGTCTCCGGCGACAACAATGGTATTGCATAATTTAGAACCGGCCAGCCAATTGACTTGTATATATGTTGCCAGCAAAGTTTCTTTGTCTTTGCCCAAGACCTTGTTGCGGCTCTGTACTTTGTTGACAACTGCGGTTGTTTGCAAGGAGGAGAGCAGGCTATCAAAGATGACCCCTAAAAATTTCGGGTTGTTTACTGTCGGTATTGGTATTCCTTCGACGTGAATTCTTAATTCTATGTAGTATGACCTCCTTCGTCCAGGTGGTGAAAAGGAGGGTCGCCATTGATTTCGTTAGGGAGAGTGTTAAGCTTCTTACAGTGAAGAAGCGAGAAAGCTATCAATATGCCATACCGACTCATAAAGGCTGCTATCTCTTCAATCTTTCTCTGGAGTCCGTTGCAGTTCAGTTGTAAGAGTTTCGTATCCCTTGGGAGGCTGGTCGCTATAGGGGAGTGAGGTACGTGTGGGGTCTACCTTGGGCCTGTTGCGCCCGACACAGTTGCTGTTGCCCCCTGGTGGTGGGTGGCTGCAGTGCGTGCGATGTTGTTTGCATCGGTAGTACTCTGCAGCAGGGGACGCTGTAGTTTGTTGTCCACTCGCGTGTGGTGCGTATGCCAGAGCATAGATGGAAGTGGCATCAGCCAAGACATGTGTTGCCTTTGACATGTCACGTTCCGGGATACTCTGGCACAGGGATCGGATGGTGTAGGCTACTAGGAGCTGCTGGTTGGCTCGGTCATCGTTGAGTTATTGTTGTTGCTGTAGCGGCCATCGTTGGGTTGTTGTTGTTGTTGTAGCGGCTACAACAACCCCGCCCAGATTGGTTGATATCTCAGTCGTTGTCATGAAGTTTCACTAACGGCAGCCCTAGGAAGCGTGCAGCCTTCACCGGGTCGGTCCACAGGGACAATGCCGTTAGGGTTGTCGGTTTTCCAGGCATGCGAAGACATGTTTCGAGTCATGTGAGGTCTCTCCGCATGCCGGACACTCATTTGGCACGTCCGCATTCAGTCTACTCAGGTATGAGTTTAACCTGCTGCAGTAGCCATAGCGAAGTTGGGCTATTGTTGTTCTTGTCTCCGGAGGCAGATGAAGCTCCGCCTCGTCTATGCCCGGTGGTGGTGTGCCTAGAACGGTATTCACAGGTCTAGTGTCTACATAACTCGAGACTGACTCCCTGTGAATGCCGTTGAGGGCCAGTCGGTAAGCTGACAGGGAGGGAAAGAGGGACGCAGGGAGGGTTGGGGGAAAGACGGGGGAAGCTATGGGAGAAAGAAAGACGACACCTATGGCTTTTTGCCGGAGAAACGCTCCGTGCTCACAACGAAGCTCTTCAGTCGACTGATGTCCACACCCGAGAGCTCATCG